TTAAGTAAGGGTTATGTGTTTTTCTCTTATATGAGGAAGATAGAGAGAAAAGGGAGGAAAAAAAGCAAGCTCATGAGAACAGGAGACCAATAGAGTAGAGGAAGGAGGTAAAGTGGAGGGAGGAGGTGAGGGGAGGGGAAATATCTGGGGAATGGAATTGATAAAATTGTGTTAAGCACATATACAATTATGTCACTATGAATCTCATTATTTTGTATAATTTTAGTGCACCAATAAATTTATTTTACAAAAGAGGTGGGGCCTAGTGGAAGGAAACTAGGTTACTGGGGTTGTGCCCTTGAAAGGGATATTGAGACTCAGCCCTCCCCCTCTGTCTCCCCTGATGTCATGATATAAACACATTTCCTTCACCACACACCCCACCACGATGCATTGACTAGCCACAGGCTCAAAGTGATGGGGCCAATAAACCATGGATTTAGACCTCTGAAACTGGGAACCAAAATAAAAATTTCCTTTTTGTAAGTTGATTATCTCAGGTATTTTGTCACAGTGATGTAAACCTGACTAACAATGATTAAGGTGAGGAATAGGCATTCAAAGAAGAGGAAAAAGCATGAAAACACCAAAAGTTTCAGAAATGTTTTGCTGAAAGTTAAATACATATTCTTTTTTTAGAGAGAGAGAGAGAGAGAGAGAGAGAGAGAGAGAGAGAGAGAGAGAGAGAGAATTTTTTTCGGTGGACACAACATCTTTATTTTATTTTTATGTGGTGCTGAGGATCGAACACAGCGCCCTGTACATGCCAGGCGGGCGCGCTACCACGTGAGCCACATCCCCAGCCCAAATACATATTCTTTATGTCTGTATCTAGGGATGTTCCAATTTAAACTTGCACTCAAATTCATAAAAGGCCAACTAAATTTATTCCCACAGGATAAACATACCAGAGAGTGTATCAGTGTTCACTTATCCACATCCTAACAATGGATATTAAGATTCCAAAGGAGGAGCTAGTGGTGTGGCTTAATGGTAAAGTATTTGCCTATCTTGCACAAGGTCTGAGATTCACAAATATGTTCCTTGATTTGCCTTTATAAACCTCCAGTTCCGTATCTTTATTCATTACCTCTTTTACTCCTATCTGAAGGGATTAAATGCAACTTCCTTCTTTTAAAACCATCTCACAAACTTTGCCAGAGGTGTGTGTTTATTGACAAATGCTTTCTTTTTTTTAAAGACAGAGAGAGAGAGAGAGAGAGACAGAGAGAGAGAGACAGAGAGAGAGAGAGAGAGAGAGAGAGAGAGAGAGAGAGAGAAATTTATATATATATATATATATATATTTAGTTTTTGGTGAACACAACATCTTTATTTTATTTTTATGTGGTGCTGAGGATGGAACCCAGCACCCTGCACATGCTAGGCGAGCGTGCTACCGCTTGAGCCACTTCCCCAGCCCCACCAAATGCTTTCTTTTTCAAATTAAATATGATACATTTAAAACAACAATCTACTTGCCACCGTGTTTTATCCTTAAAGCATCTCATTATGGTTGGAAGCCCCTGTAGCCCTTTTTTATCCCATTGCCCATCCTCCCTCCATTCCCTAATTTCTCAGAGATATTTATTACCCCCAATTTGATATTTCCCATCCCAATACATATTTTTATTCTATTTTATATTCATGCATTTTACTTAAAATATCAGCATATTGAGACTGGTGCAGTGGCACATGCCTGTAATCCCAGCAACTCAGGAGGCTGAGGCAGGAGGATCTCAGGTTTGAGACCAGCCTCAACATCTTAGTGAAACCCTGTCTCAAAATAAAAAGGGCTTGGGATATAACTCAGTGGTAAAGTACCCCTAGCTTCAATCCCCAGTAACCCCACCCCAATCAGAGTATTGGTCTACCTGTTTTTAAACTTTACATAATTGCTAATAGAGTGTACATAAAAGTATGAGGCTTTAAATTTCCACTCAGTTTTTTATTGGGGGGATATGTTCACGTGGATAAATCCCAGCATGGAACAGCATCATGATCATACGAATTATTGCAGTAGTAGCAGGATGGTGCTCATCTGGACATCAAGACTTTGTGATGTCAAAACTGTGCCATTTATTGGCTTTGTACTTATTTGAAAGATTGTGGACCCATTGGGCTTCTTGTGGGTGTAGAATTGTATTATCCATTATCCATTATGCTATCCACTGAGAACTTGTGGTTATATTTAAATGCTAAACAAATAAAATTAAAAATTGAATTCCTCAGTTTCACTAGTCACATTTCAAGTGTTAAAAAAAGCCATAGGTAGCTGGCATCTCCCATATCAGCACAAAGGTATAAAGTTATCAAAATAAGTTCCTGGGACTGAGATTGTGGCTCAGCAGTAGAGCGCTCACCTAGCACATGTGAGGCCCTGGGTTCGATCCTCAGCACCACATAAAAATAAGAAATGAGTGAATGAATGAATAAATAAATAAATAAATAAAGGTGTTGTGTCCAACTACAACTAAAAAATAATTATTAAAAAATAAGTTTTTATTATATTCCAAGTAGTGAAACTCCTATTATATCTCAACTTAACCCCACCGTTTTGGTCACTTACAAAAGACAGATAGGTCATGGAAAATGACTCCTGCAACCAGCATGGCCAAACTAGTGGGTTCTGGTGAAGGGAACATAGTAAAGAGAAAGCAGCTTATTAAAAAGTCCCTCACATAACCATAGAGAGAAAATCACCACACAGATGTGTCAGGAGCTGTCCATGGGTTGCATGTGGGTCACTGCACATGGAAGCCTAGTAGATAGAGACATCTGGTGTCTGGGAATTACCAGTGAACATTTTCTCTGGTCAATTGCCCAGGGACAATGTGAATTTCTATCCCTCTCTGCCATGGACCACACAGCACTTGAGATGGGTGTGACCTGCCAAGATGTCAATCAACCTGCTAACTGCAAGACATCACAAAGCAAGAGTTTGCCCTCCGTATCTATGGATTCAACCAACTGAAGATCAAAAATATTTTAAAAATCATGTCCCTACATTTAAAACTATTTTTCTGACTCTGTGTCTTATGTCTTCACTAATTATTTCTGACTTATCTTCTCCCTTGGCTTATACCATCTTGGGCAGGAAAGGCAAGGTGCTAGCCACCTTGCAATAATCAACAAAGTAATTGTGGTGGCAGAGATGGAAGTTATGCACAAGCTCAACAAAACCCATGTATCATAGGCTGATGTGACTATTCTTAACACACATTTGCCGAATTTGCCAACAGTAGAGGCTAACACCTCTTACTTTACTTATTCACATATTTCACTCAGCATGATGTTCTCCTTTTCAATTCATTTACCAGCAAATACCATAATTCAATCCTTCTTTATGACTGACTAAAACTCCACTGGGCATATGCACCTCATTTTCTTAATCCATTTGTCTATTGTCATCTGGGCTAGTTCCATAATTTGGTATTGTGAATGGTATTGCTTTTATAGCAGTACAATTTTTATAGCAGTATTATAGTATGCTGATTTTAGTTCTTTTAGATAAATACTAAGGTGTGGGATAGCTGGGTCATATGGTGGTTCCATTCCTAGTTTTTCGAGGAATCTCCATACTGCTTTCAAGTGGTTTTACTAATTTGCAGTCCCACCAACAATGTATGAGTATACCTTTTCCCCCACAATCTCACAATCATTTATTATTATTTTTATTATTTGTATTTCTGATAATTTCCATTCTGACTGGAGTGAGATGAATTTTCAGTGTAGTTTTGTTTTGCATTTCCCAGATATTGAACATTTTTTCATGTATTTGTTGCTCAATTATATTTCTTGTTTTGAGAAGTATCTGTTCTTTCAGCACCATTATTTGGTTGTTTTTTTTTTTTTTCCTGTACTGGGGATTGAACTCAGGGGCACTCAACCACTGAGCCACATCCCCAGGACACAGGGTCTCACTGAGTTGCTTAGGGCCTTGAAGTTGCTGAGGCTGGCTTTGAACTCACAATTCTCCTGTCTCAGCCTCCCAAGCCACTGGGATGACAGGCGTGCACTACTACACCCGGCCAGCACCATTATTTGCAACAGGATACTTTATCCATCACAATGGCACATGATATTGCTTCTGAACATGCATGTTAATTGGCTTTTTATTACTGACACAATACCTGATAAAAGTCAACTCACAATTCTCCTGTCTCAGCCTAAGACAGCAAGGAATTTACTAATTGCACCATATTCCCCATCAATAATTAGCAGCTGGCTTTACAGAATGGTGGAGTGACTTGTCGAAGGTTTGATTAGGATAACAACTTGGAGAAAAGATGGGTAGATATGCTGTGATACAGGATATAATTTAAACTAGTGGCTAATGTTACACTATCTCCCTACAGCAAGGATGCATGATTCCAAGAACCAAAACAAATGACTGGCCCTTCTCACCATTTCATCTAATAAATTGGAAGCATTTTTTGCTACTTGCTTCCTGTATTTTGGGTTTAATAGGTTTAGTGGTTCTAGTCCCCAGAGAATGCTTCTCCAGAGAATGCAATCATAGTTCTGGTGAATCAGACTTATGCCACTGAACCCAGATAGAAAGGGGCTCCTGGTGCTGGTCAGGAAGATCATAATTACCAAGGGGAAATTTGGTTACTATTTGCAAAGGGAGCAAGCAGGACAACTCCTTGGAAACTAGAAGATCCATTATTAAAACTCTGAGTACTCTCTTGTCCAACAGTTCTGGAGAATGGAAACTTGTAGCAACTCAACAGGATCACCAAGAATTTGATTACGAACATAGGTCTCATGCCCAGATACACAGGGAGAGATTATCGCAACCGTTTTCTCCTTCACCTCTTTACCTGATACTTTACATAAAAAGCACCAGGGCTACTGTTTTAGGTGTAGAGCAGGTTTATCTCCAAATTGTGATATTCCCATAGTGCTGGAAACACAAATATTTCATTTCTTTCGTAAATGATTATTGATGAAATAAACCACTACTGTGAAAAGAAAATCACTATGAGAAACAGGCATCTGTCTTACCAAGTTTATTGAAGCATTATTTACAATTGCCATGAAATTGAATCAACTAACTATGCATCAACTGATGATTGGATAAACAAATTGCAGTATATATACACAATGAAATACCGTCCATCCTTTAAAAAATGAAACTGTCATTTGTGGCAATATGGGTGAATCTTGGGGACATTACGTTAAGTGAAATAACCTAGGCAAAGAAAGACACACACCATGGTGGCAATATGAGTAACAGGAGATGCAGAACCTGGATCAAAGCCTTTTATTTCCCCCTAAATGCAAAGGTGGATGAATGAGGTCGACTACCAGGCAAAAAGGTCTTTGGTTAAAGTGATTATTAGACCCCCTGTCCTGAGGGGAAGATGGTTTCTTGCAGAACGAGGTGAAGGAGGTGGTTCTGCTCAGCAGTCAACAGAGGCCACATCTCCACCTGCAGTGACTTGACGGCTTCTATGTCCTTTTCGTGGGTAGCCATGACCAAGGACTGCAGCAGCAGAAAGAGCTCCTCAGGAAGCTGGCCGCTGCTCTCCTGTCCGTGGCTGTCAAAAGCTTCCCAGGAGTACTTCTCCAGAGTCTGGGCGTGCTCGGGCAGAAGCTTGGCCGGAGGTGGCTGTAGGAGCAGCAGCAGCAGCACACGGGACACCTCGCAGCGCACCAGCACCTCCGAGAAGGCGCCCAGGGCGACAGGAGAGGGCAAGGCAGAGCCAGGGTTTGCGGGGAGCGGTGCGGCGGGCACCAAGGGGGTCGCGCCAGGTCCGGGTTGGGGCCCCGGCGGCTGGGGCTGAGACTGCGCCGGGGCCAGCAGGGTCTGCGGTGGTGGAGGCGGGAGCTGCTGCACGGGATGGCTGCCATGCTCCTGCGCTAGGAGCTGCATGCGCGTGAAGAGCGCCAGGGCGCCATTGTAGTCGCGCGCCAGAAGCTGGCAGGAGGCGGCGTCGCCCAGCGCCTGCAGAGCGGCCAGGGGCAGAAGGGGCAGCTGCAGCTGGGCGGCGCGCTGGAAGTGGCCGGCGGCGGCGGCCGGCTGGCCCAAGTCGCGCAAGGCGGCGGCCAGCTCCAGACACAGGGCGGCGGCGGCGGCCGGCTGCCCCAGCTCCAGGTGCAGGCGCACAGCGGCGCCCAAGGCGCTGGCAGCCGCCTGCAGCGGCTCGCCATAGGCGGCGGGGCAGACCAGGCGCTGACGAGCGTCGCACTCCTGCCGCAGAAAGAGGCGTGCGGCCTCCGTGAGGGCCAGCGCCTCCCCAGGCCCGTGGAAGAGCGCCTGCTGGCACCGCGCCACTGCCAGCTGGCACCAGGCTGCGTAAGGCAAGCACTCCTGGGCGCGCAGTTCGCGGCCCAACTGACCGAACTGCTCCCCGGCTTCCGCAACGTTCGGCTTCCGCAGGAACCGCTTCTTCAGCTTGTTCGACACCAGGCGGTACCGGGCCAGGAAGTCCCCGGCTTCGGGACCAGGGACGACGCCACCGCCGAGGCCGGACGTGGAAGCCGCCATGTTGCCAGGTCCGGGAACTTCCGGACACGCCTACGTGGGCAAAGGTCCCGGCCACGCCGCC